TGGCTCAGTCCAGATCCTAGGCCCAGCCCTGGGGGGAGATGTCTCGGAGTCCCCAGGCGATGCTCTGGAACTGCTCCCCACAAAGCCAGTCAGGACTTTGGGGAGCCTCCTCTCCCTCGGAGCAGACTGTCTTCAGGGCAAGAAGACGTGTGTCTTCGCCTCCTGGGTCTGACCTGGGAGCATTCAGCATATGCCCCTCCATGCGCTTCCCACAGCGAGTCCGCCCAGGCGGGGTCCTGGGGAAGCCAGAGGTCCTGCACCCCCACTTCACAGTCAGACGTGACTCTCAGCCAGACAGTAAAACAGAGGTTTATTAGATGACAGGAACACGGTCTAAAACGGAGCTTGTAGGTCCAGCGAACGGGACCCCTCAGCCGGGTCCATTCTGGGGTCCAGCGAGCCAGACACCCACATCTGCCCTCACTTCCCGTCCCCAGCCAGCCCCAAACTGAAACCCCCTCTAGCCCCTCCTTTCTGGCCTTTGTCTCTTTCCCGGGTCAGGAGGTCTCCTGATCTCTTTGTTCACCTTTAGCTATTCCCTTGCAGGGGGGAAGCGCCCCGGCCATTTGTTGCCAGGATACAGAGTGTCGGCCATTTATGCGCACTGGAGACTTAAGAAATGCATAGGGGAAACTGAGGCACCCACTCAGTATTCAGAGGAAACATTCAGAACAGTCCCACTTCGTCACAGGAGACTCCTGGCCCAGCTCGGCTCGGCTCAGCCTGGCTTCTACTGGCCCAGCCCTGAGTCAATGAGCCAAACTGCGACAGGGGACTCGGCTGTCGGTGATCGGCTGATCCAGCCTCCTGGGGGGGGTCGGAACCAACCCCGAGCAAGACCCAGGGGAGGCTGCAGGGCTGATATGGCTTTGGGGGTGGGGTGGAAATAAACCAGGCTGGGGCCAAACGTCCCCCTGGACTCTGCACTTGGATCCGCGGGGCCGCCACTGGCCTCTCCCCTCTGCCGGGATCTAGACGCTGCCTGTCGCTCCTGAAGGAGCCTGTGCCAAGATCAACAGGCGCACTGCGAAGGTCCAAGGGCGCCCGGTGCCAGCGGCTGGAGCGGGGTCTCCACGCAGCGCTGACTTCAGGGGGCGGGGTGGGAATTCCTCACAGCGGCCCGTTTCTACCAGGAAAAGGGCTCGGCTCTAGGCTGGCGTCTCGGGGCGATTTCTCACCGTGGGCTGTGGGGGCGGCCGGTCTGGCCCTGGCCACCTGTGCAAAGCGACCGGGCGCTGGAGCCATTATACCCGGAGAGGACAATCCCCAGAGCCCAGCTCCTGGTCCTTCCTGCCTGGGGCCTTTCAGACGAGGCTCCGCGGGGACATTCCTGGCCCCAGGGGGATTTTCCGAAGACGGGGGGAGGGGCAGAGTTCTCAGCCAAAATCTCCCCTCCTTTGCTCCTGCCCACCCCTGGGGCCTGGCTGGCCAGGTGGGGACAGGGAGGGCGCACCTGGGGCAATGTCATGGGCTGCCCAGGAGTTCGAAGCCAAGAACCGGCTTTGCATGAGAGGGGTGGCACAGAGACTGTCCCTGCACGGCCTCTTGGGCCTGGATGTGACAATGCGGCCGCTCTGCCTCAGTTTCCCCACCACCATCTTTGGCGTGCTCCAGCATCGAGGTGATCGGGGCCTTCCAGCTGAGCCTTCTGGGGTAAGAGCTAATCAACACACCGAGCAAAAGACTCTCGGTCCGGCCGGACTTCGCCTCCAGCCCCCTCCCAGCTCGTCCTCTGCCTCACAACTCTCTCCAGGGCTCCACGGCCAGGCCACGCCTCTCCTCCGCTCAAGGGCTCCAGCAGGCCCCAGTCCGCCTATGGTCCTTGGTCCAAGCTGGGCTCTTTGCCCCACATGGGCACGCCCAGACCTCCGTCTGCTCTCAGTCCCTCTCTGCCGCTGTCCACTGGGCTTGATACCAAGCCAGAGGGAGCAAACGACAGACCTGGGAATAGAACCCAGGAGTCCTGACTCCCAGACCCCTCCCCTCCAGATGCCACTCCCTTCCTCAGGTGGGGTCTGTCTAATGGGGGGAGGGGCTACAACTAGCCCCGCCCACTCAGGGCCAGCACTTCCTTTTAGGCCACCTAGGCAGTCACCTGGGGCAGCAGGATTTGGGGGGGCGGCATTTTGCCACCCTCGGCGGCAATTCTGTGGCAGGGGGTCCTTCCGCGCTCCGGGACCCACCGCCAAAGTGCCCCGAAGACTGGGAGCGCGGAAGGACCCCCGCCTAGGGCGGCAAAAACCCTGGTGCCGCTCTGGTGCCCATCTGGTACCCATCCTTTGCAGCAACAATCTTCTCAGCCCGGCCCCCTCGGGGAGGGAGTGGCTGCATCCCGACACTGGTGGGATATCAGGGCGCAGCCGGGGCTCTGGGCACCCGCCCCACAGGGTGCCCAGCGTGGGAGCTGCCGGAGCCGGAGCCGGAGCCGGAGCCGGAGCCTGGCATGCTGGGGACACAGAGGAGGCGAAATGGGGATCTCCGATGGGCTTGATCCAGCGGGCTCAGGTCCCCAGTGGCTCCCAGTCCGTGACCAGCTGCCCCAGAGACCCAGCTCCGACGCCGGCTGGCCGAGGTGCCCTGCAAGGCGCGGGGTGTGGCTCCTTGCCAAATCCAGCAGTGGGGAGGCAGGTCCGTAAAATGGGGTTTCATGTGACACCCCCCTGTCCCCAGGGCAGGTCGTTGGGATCCTTCAGACCTAGCTCCGTTAGCTCGACGGCTGCACAGACCCAAAGCCACGCACGGCGCAGCCACTAGAGGGGGACACTGAGCCAACGCTCCGTGGGCTGCCGGGACGTGGCCTCCAGCAGGGGGTGCAATAGAAGGGACCCCAAGGGAGCAGAAGGGGGGGCAGCCAGTAAAGCCCCAGAGGAGGGGGGCAGAGACCCGCGCGGGACACGAGGCCCAGAGCAGAGAGCTTCACCCAGGGCCGGGGAGGCTCCCCAGGAGATGGCTACGCCCCCTTGCCTCTGCCCTGCTTCTAATACTGGGCAAGCCCCACACCCACGGGGTCCCTCCGAGGGTAGAGCAGCCCCTGTGGGCGCTAGACGCTGCCAGGCTGGGGGCCAGCCAGAGAGAGGGGACATGGAGGGCAGAGGTTTCCCTATGGCTGGGCTCTAGGAGGCTACGCCGGGGATCGAACCGGGGATCGGCAGAGTTAGACGCACAAGCTGCTGCAGCTTGGATCCTATGGGGGCCCGGCAAAGGCACCCAGTGGGTCCCAGCATGTGCGACACCCCCCACTACTGCTAGGTGGCGCTAGCGCCCCAGGAGACGTGCAGGCCCCCTGGTACCTCCGAGCCAGCCATGGGCACCGGGGAGCAGGGGGGAGGAGGGTGTGCGGAGCCAGAGGCCGAGGGCTCCATCCTGGTACAAGTGGGCGAGGGGCGAGGGGCGACCCTGCGTGGCTCATGCCCCATGGGTGCCAGATGTGGGGCCCAGGGGAGCATCACAGCCTGGACGGGGGCCGGAGCGGGACGGCCCGGTGGCGGGTGGTCTCCTCTTGCAGCGACCAGGAGGGCAAAGGAAGACGGGGCGCTGACCTTGCCGGTTTTATCTGCTCTGGCACTGGGCTAGCTCCCCACGCCGCTCCCTGGGGGGGCGCGACCTGGTCTGTGACCAGATCGAACGGTTCTTGGGTGCGTTCGTTCACAGCACCAGGCCCCAAAGGCTCTGGGGGGTTTTAGCACCAAGACCCCTCCCAGGATGGACCAGGACTCAGGCCCGGGAGCTCCCCACCCCTTGCCCGGTTTCCGGTGACCTCCCCTCCCACCATGCGTTGTACGGTACTGTAGCCCCCAGCCGGGCCTGCGTCCCATCCCTGTGCACTGGGCTCCCGGACGGCCTGGCACTCGGCGATGGGTGCCCTGGGAGGCAGAGCGTGGCCCTGGTTGGCAGCACCCTCTGTGCCCTCTGCTCTTGCAGGCAAATCCCCGCCTGTCAGGGGCTCCGGCAGGGCCCTGAATGCAGGGAAGCCAGATGCGTGTTTACCATCAGAGAAAGCTGCCAGCCCTGGGGGGGTCTGTCTCTCCCCAGCCCAGCAGCGATGGGAGGGTGGCGCTCAGCTCTGAGGGACCCCCGGGGAACGTGGGGGGCTAGGAGCATCTTGCAGGGACGGGGGTTGCCCCGTGCGCCCAGGAGGGAAAATGCCCTGCTGTGCTCGCCGCCACGAAGCCATGGCGATGGGCACAGCGGAGCTAACGAGACCGGCTGACCAGGGCGCAGTCGGGCTCCCTCGTTCAAGCCACACGGGGCCCAACGGCAGCGTCGCCTCTGGGATGGGGCCTGCGTGTGCCCGTTGCGGGGCGAACTGGGGGGGGCTCACTCCTCGGCCTGGCTCCCTGCCTCCTGGCCCCGCAGGACGCGGTCCCGAGGGCCGGGAACCACGAGGGGCGGCCTGTGCCCTGCATGCCCCATTGTGGGGCCGCGGGCTTTGTTTTCTTGGAACAGTTTAATAAACAACAACCCTTATGCAACGTGAGCACCGCGCTCAAAATACTGTACCGACCCTTGCCCTACATTCCCCCCCTGCCCTTTGGCAAGGCAGGGCCGCGTGGCTGGGGGGGGCACCCCTGGAGCCAGTTGACCCAGCTCAAGGCCGGCGGGGCCTGGTGCAGACTGGCAGCCCGAGGGCGTGATGACGCCGGAGTCCCAAGGCAGGGGAGGGGGTTAGCGCTGGCAACAGGGAGCAGAAACGGGGAGACTGGCGCTGGCCTCGCCACTCCGAGAGGGCGAGGAGCTTTCATCTCAGCCAGGCGCCCCCTGGCCCTGCAGCCGGACCCCGCTCTCACCCTGCAGTGAGGGGGGGAAGGCAGCAGAGGGCACCCTGCCGGGCGGTGCCGTGGCATTCCCCGCTGCCCCCAATTCTGGTGCACAGAGGGTGCGAAACTCTCCCGGGCCAGCCTGTAACCGCTGCCACCTGCCGGGCCCCCAGGCTGCTGGCCGCCGGGGTCCGGGCCTGGCCTCAGAGCTCACCGGGAAACGCCTTCTTCCTCCTTCCCCAGACTGCGCCTGGGCAGAGCCCAGAGCCAACTGCAGCCTGTGGCGCCAATATGCAGCCCCCGCCCCTGCTCTCCGCTGGCACCAAGCGCATCCGTCCTGTACCGCGCGCTCTGTGCCAAGGCGGCTTTCCCCACGTGCCACGTGCCGGCTTCAGACCCAGCCCCCTCGGGAGGAAGGCCTCGCGCTTTGGCTGGCACCCATCGGTAGCTCGTTAGCGCTGGCTGAGCTTAACGACAGCTTGGCAGCGCCCTGCCCCGGCCCGCTGCTCACTGCCCCCCGATACCACCTCGCAGGAAGCCGTGATTGTCCCAGCTGGAGGGCTTTGCTGCCCTGGGAGTCACCCCCTCGCACTGGGACAACGCACACGTGCAAATTGCATTTTCCTGGTGGCTGGAGCCCCCCAAAGCACCAACTCTGTGTGTGTGTGTGTGTGTGTCCCTGTATGCACGGGGGCGGGCGTGTGTCCGTGTGCGCTGCACCAGTTACGAGACACCCCCACACACACAGGAGCCAGGCAGCAGCGGCAGCCCAGTGCCAAGGGCAGCACGCATGCCCCGGTGGCAGCGCCGTGCCAGGCCTCATTACTCACTGTTGACATTCCTGAGCTATTCTGGGAGCACGGCCCCGGCCTGCCGCAGACTTCGGCCCCGGCCCCGCGGTTGTGTCATGCCACGTGGGTGCTTTTTCCCAGACGGCCTGGTGAACCTGCCGTGTTTACCCTCTGCCACCGGAGCTTTGTTTCCGAGACTTTGGATGCCAGCGCGTCCCAGTTCGACGGGCAGTGGGGATCAGTCAGGGTCAGTGCGCCTGCCCCTCCTCCTCAGACACCTGCGCTTGGGATACCCCCAAACCCAGCATGTGGAGCAAGGAGAGAAGACGTGATCTCACTCTGCAGTGCCCCCGCTGGGAGGTGCCCAAGACCGCCCCACCCCAGCCGGCGTGGCAGGAAGGGGGCACTGTACCTGCCGGTTACCTCCCAGGCCTAGCGGCCTGACTGGGGGAGCAGAAATGGACCCCAAACCCCAGCCGGGCCCGCGCTGAGCCAGGACTCGGGCGTGGCGGGGCCGAGCGGGAGTGAGCGGCCTGGCCTCGGATGGTGCAGCCATTCTCTGCAGCTTTCACACGCCGGCAGCTGCCCCCAACCCCTGACAGCTGCCCCCAGCTCCCCACGGCGTCAGGACCGAGCAAAGGCCACGTGGCAGCTGCAAGGGGCCTCGGCTGCTGCGCATAGCTCCCGGTGTCAGGCCCCGGTGCTGGTAACGTGGCACGTGCCAGCATCAGCGCCCGGAGAGGGAAAGTTACCGCTAATGGGGCAGCGTATCTGGGACTGAGCCGTTTGGTGATAAGGGGGCTCGGGCAGGCAATCCTGCTGGGGGGTGGGCAGGGCCCAAGCCCCAGCTCCTCCGCCCTCCCCCTCCTCTGCCCCCCACTTGGTCTGTTGGGGGGGGGCCCCGTGGCTCGAGGGGTGGGGGCTGGCTAGTGAGCAGTGGCCGCTGCTGACCCCCCCAGGCTGCAGGAGGCAGGCGGAGAAAGGAGAAGCCTGGGAAAGAAGTGTTAATCCCTGTGCCCTCTGCCCCCTCAGTGCCTGGGCAAAGAACAGCAGCACCAGCTGGCACCGGGCAATGTCCCCAGCCCCTGGAGGAAACACCCAGGGGCGTCGGTGAGCTGCGACGGAACCAGGGGGCCCTTCTCAAAGGTGCCTGCTCTGTGCCCCCCAGCACCTCCCGACTGCCTGGGCAGCGCAACCTTCTCCATTCTTGCATCATGCCCCTTGCCGGGAGCCCTCAGCACCTGTTCCCGGCCGGGGGAGGCAGCACCCCCCAATCTCCCCCAGCCAGCACCCTCCCCCGGGGCCCCAGGTGCCGGCCAATCACAGCAGGCAGGAGGGCAGGGCCTGCCCCCATGACTGACAAGTGCCTGGAGCCTGGACGGGCAGCACCTCAAGCCAAGCCCTGAGTCAGGCTCCCTCGGGCGAGCAGCACCCATCTCAGCCCCTGGCACCGGGCAGCGGCTGTGGCGAGCAGCTCCTCGCATGGCAGGGCGACGCGGGGCAGCCCGGGTGTGACAGCAGGAGGCAGACTGGCTGGGCAGAGCTCGGAGACAGATCCTGAGGGCCTGGCACCGTCCCTACCCCCCTGCCGCCCTCGGTTCTAGATGGCGCCTGGCTCCGGCGCACAGCGGGAGAGGAGCGGGCAGCCCCCAGGGGGTTGGCTACCCCTGGCCGCCCTGGCCTTGCTGTGGGGATCCTCGGTCCAGGGAGGAGGGAAGCCAGGGTGCCCCTCGTGCGGGATGCCCACCCTGGAGCCGGGCACGGAGAGGCGCTTCCTGCTCGAGCTGGCCCAGCGGCAGATCCTGGAGAAGCTGCACCTGAGCGAGAGGCCCAACGTCACCCAGCCGGTGCCCCGCGGAGCCGTCGCCAACGCCCTGCGGCACCTGCATGTGGGCAAAGCCCGGCGGGACGGGCAGCTGGGGCCCTTCGCCCGCTGGGACGGCCCCGACGCCAACGAGCTGGGCTATGAGATGATCAGTTTTGCCAAGACAGGTGGGTGCCGCCGACGGGGAACCGAGGCTTGGGGGCAGGGGCGGGGCTGGGGGTGAGCCAGGAGCAGGGGTGGGAACAGGCGGGGACGGGGAGCGGGACGGAGCCAGCGGCTCTGCCCCACCAAAGGGAACTTTTCTGATTGCAGGTGGGAAAACCCGGGGTCCGGAGAGCAGAGAAGGGGGTGAGTGGGGAGACAGGGGGGCGGCCCAGGCTGCTCTCAGGACAGACCATGCAGGGGGTGGGGGCAGAGGCACCCCTCACCCGGCTACGAGGACCCCACAGGTTAACGGAGCCCTTCCCTAGGGCTAGATAGTGCCACAGCATCACTCCTGGGTTCTGTCCCCAGTTCTGGGAGGGGAGTGGGTCTAGTGGCTATAGTCAGGGGGGTGGCTGGGAGCCAGGACTCCTGGGTTCTGTCCCCAGTTCTGGGAGGGGAACAGGGTCTAGTGGGTTAAGACCAAGGCGGGGGTCAGGACTCCTGGGTTCTATCCCCAGTTCTGGGAGGGAAGTGGGGTGTGGTGGTTAGCAGCGGTGGCTCCAGGCACCAGCGCTCCAAGCGCGTCCCTGGGGCGGCAAGCCGCCTTCAGCGGCGTGCCTGCAGGAGGTCCGCCGGTCCTGCGGATTCGGCGGCAATTCGGCGGCGGGTACGCCGAAGCCGCGGGACCAGCGGACCTCCCGCAGGCACGCCGCTGAATCCGCGGGACCGGGAACCTCCCGCAGGTGCACCGCTGAAGGCTGCCTGCCTGCCATGCTTAGGGCAGCAAAAAAGCTAAAGCCACCCCTGGTGGTTAGAGCAGGGGGGCTGGGAGTCAGGGGGGCTGGGAGTCAGGACTCCTGGGTTCTAGCCCCAGCTATGGGAGGGGAGGGGAGTGGGGTGTAGTGGTTAGAGCAGGGGGGCTGTCTGTCAGGGGGGCTGGGAGCCGGGACTCCTGGGTTCTCTCCCTGGCTCTGAGAGGGAAGTGGGGTGTAGTGGTTAGAGCCGGGGCTGGGAGCCGGGACTCCTGGGTTCAAAGCCCAGCTCTTCAGTGACTCACTTTCCCCAGCGGAGGAACTGGCTCCCCGAGGCCGGGATGGTCCGTGGATCTCTGACCGGGGCGGGGGGTGTGTGTGTCTCTGAACCAGGGTGCACTCTGGGCCTGGCAGCTTGGGGGGTAAGGGAGAGATCTGGGCACTGGGACCCCCCCCCCAGCGCTGGCAGGACTGCTGGCATCCCACTGCTCCTGACACGCAAGGGAGGGGGCCTCTGGGGCTGGATGGGGGACAAACAGTACCCCACTGGAATCTATTTCCCAGGGGATCAGCCCCCCACCCCATGTTTGGGGGGCTGGAGTCATCTGCAAACCCCTCCCCCTATGGGCCTCTGCTGCCCACCCCCCCACGGGAGGTCCCCAGGGCAGAGACGGGACCCAGCAGTGTCTCCCAATGCCCCCAGCCCCTTGGAGCTGAACCGGTGTGGGAGTCCTTGCTGTCACTGCCGGGTTCTCCTATGGGCGGCGCTAGAACGCCGCCTCCAGGGAAGGGACACGCCAGAGCTCGGTGGGGGCAGCGGGTCAGAGACAGCGCCCCTCAGTGGACCGGCCGCCCAGGGGTGCCTGGGTCTTGGGGGACTTGGCTGGGTGGAGCAGGGAGCCTGGTGCCAGCTGCGAAGATGGGCATTCCCCGCCTGGCACCGCCCCCCCGTTCTCACAGCCCCGCTCTCCCCACAGAGTTCTCCTCGCCCTCCAGCACGGGCCTGCGTTTCCGGTTCAGCCGGGGCAGGGGCCAGGATGTCCACATCTTGCAGGCCCAGCTGTGGCTCTACGTCCGGGCCCCCCGGAGCGGGCTCTCCCCGGTCACGCTGCGGGTTTCCCTGGCGGGGGCGCTGCTGAGCGAGAGGCAGCTGGAGGCCCGGGCCAGCGGCTGGCACACCTTCGCCCTCCTGCCTGCGCTCCAGGCCTTCTTCCGCGGGCAGGAGAAGACGCTGAGGCTGGAGCTGGAGTGTCGCGGGTGCCAGGCGAACGCCACGGCCGGGAGCGACGCCGGCGGCTCCCACCAGCCCTTCCTGGTGGCCAAGGCCACGATGCGGGAGCCGGGGCAGCGGCTGGCCAAACGCAGCCTGCGCTGCGACCAGACCTCCAGCCTGTGCTGCCGCAAAGACTATTACGTGGACTTCCGGGACATCGGGTGGAACGACTGGATCATCAAGCCAGAGGGCTACCAGATCAACTACTGCATGGGCCAGTGCCCGCCCCACGTGGCCAGCAGCCCGGGCATGGCCTCCTCCTCCCACACGGCCGTGCTCAACCTGATCCGGGCCCACAACACCCAGACGGGCGGGCAGTCCTGCTGCGTGCCCACACACCGCCGGCCCCTCTCCATCCTCTACTTCGACCGCAACAGCAACATCGTCAAGACCGACATCCCGGACATGATCGTGGACGCCTGCGGGTGCAGCTAGGGGGCCACGGCTGCCCCTGGAGAGGTGGGGGGCGGGGGGAATCTCGCGGTGCTGGTCAGCAGGGTTGGCATAGACTGCCCCGATGCCCTCGGGCGCTGTTCGGGAGACGCGGGTCAGGGATTGTTCTGGACTCTCACTCCCAGGAGGAGGCTGGTTAACATGATACATCTCTTGGGCGTGTGTGTCGGGGGGGGGGGAGGAGGCAGCTGGCTACACCCTCCCTCCCCCACAGCGCACGCACACATTTCAAGCACAAGTGTGCAAGGAGGAAACCGGGCCAGGTGCCAAGTGGAGGAAAGGTCTCCGGGCCGGCTCGGGGCCAACGCCCCGCGGCACACGGCTCGGCTGCCCCAGCCGGGTATTTCTAGAGCTGGGTGGAAAATTTTGCCAAACAAAGCGGGTGGGTTCGTCTCACCGAGAACATTTTGATTTTCAGGGGATTGGGCAGAAAACTAGCAATTTCCAGCCGAGAAAAGGAACCTTTGGGCCCAAAATGTCCGGTGTTGAGATTTTCCGTTTCCCAACTGACCGTTTTCCCCAGGTGCTTCCCAAGGGCCGTGGTGGATCTCCCAAACCTGGCGCTTTGCCGGTCGAGCCGGGCTGGTGTCCGCTCCACCAGGGGTTACGCCCGGGGGGTGGCAAGACCCACGTGCAGGAGGAGGCCAGACAAGCCGGGCATGGCTGGGAACAGCCCCCAAGAACGGTCAGTGCTTCGAAAGCCCCA